ACAAGTGGACAAATCCACAAAGATTGGAAGAAACCAACGCAAAAATGAGGAAAACACCCGAAACCAGAACACCTCGCCTCCTAGAAAGGACCAAAACTCCTCACCAGCAAGGGAACAAAGCTGGACGGAGAATGACTGTGACGAAATGACGAAATTAGACTTCAGAAGATGGATAATGAGAAACTTTTGTGAGCTAAAAGATCATGTATTAAATCAATGCAAAGAAACCAAGAACCTTGAAAAAAGATTTGAAAAAAGATTCGAGGAAATGATAACAAGAATGGATAACTTAGAGAGGAATATGAATGAATTAAAGGAGCTGAAAAACACAATACGAGAACTTCGCGAAGCATGCACAAGTTTCAATAGCCGAATTGACCAAGCAGAAGAAAGAATATCTGAAGTCGAAGACCAACTCAATGAAATAAAACGAGAAACCAAGATCAGAGAAAAAAGCGCAAAAAGGAATGAACAAAGTCTCCAAGAAACGTGGGACTATGTGAAAAGACCTAACCTACGTTTGATAGGTGTACCAGAAGGGGACGAAGAGAATGAATCCAAGCTGGAAAATACTCTTCAGGACATCATTCAGGAAAATTTCCCCCACTTAGCAAGACAGGCCAACACTCAAATGCAGGAAATACAGAGAACACCACAAAGATATTCCGCAAGAAGAGCAACCCCAAGGCACATAATCGTCAGATTCAACAGGGTTGAAATAAAGGAGAGAATACTAAGGGCAGACAGAGAGAAAGGTCGGGTCACCCACAAAGGGAAGCCCATCAGACTCACAGCAGATCTCTCAGCAGAAACACTATAAGCCAGAAGAGAGTGGGGGCCAATATTCAACATTCTTAAAGAAAAGAACTTTCAACCCAGAATTTCATATCCAGCCAAACTGAGCTTCAGAAGTGAAGGAAAAATAAAATAAAATCCTTTGCGAACAAGCAAGTACTCAGAGATTTTGTCACCACCAGGCCTGCTTTACAAGAGCTCCTAAAAGAGACACTACACATAGAAAGGATCAACCAGTACCAGCCATTCCAAAATCACACTGAATGCTAAAGAGCATCAACATAATGAAGAATCTACAAAAACTAACAGGCAAAACAGCCACTTAGCATCAAAATGGCAGTATCAAATTCACACATAACAATATTAACCCTAAATGTAAATGGACTAAATGCACCAATCAAAAGACACAGACTGGCAAATTGGATAAAAATCCAAAACCCATCAGTGTGCTGTATCCAGGAAACCCATCTCACATGCAAGGATACACATAGGCTCAAAATAAAGGGATGGAGGAAGATTTACCAAGCAAATGGAGAGCAAAAAAAAGCAGGAGTTGCAATTCACATCTCTGATAAAATAGAATTTAAAGCAACAAAGATCAAAAGAGACAAAGAAGGATTCATCCCGGGGATGCAAGGCTGGTTCAACATACGCAAGTCTATCAACGTAATTCACCACATAAACAGAACCAAAAACAAAAACCACATGATTATCTCAATTGACGCAGAGAAGGCATTTGACAAAATTCAACAGCCCTTTATGCTAAAAACCCTCAATAAACTCGGTATCGATGGAACGTATCTCAAAGTAATAAAAGCTATTTATGACAAACCAACAGCCAATATCATACTGAATGGGCAAAAACTGGAAGCATTCCCTTTAAAATCTGGCACTAGACAAGGATGCCCTCTCTCACCACTCCTATTCAATATAGTACTGGAAGTTCTAGCCAGAGCAATCAGGAAGAAAAAGAAATAAAGGGTATTCAAATAGGAAAGGTGGAAGCCAAATTGTCTCTATTTGCTGACGACATGATAGTATACCTAGAAGGCCCCATTGCCTCAGTCCAAAAACTCCTGAAACTGATAAGCAACTTCAGCAAAGTCTCAGGATATAAAATCAATGTGCAAAATCACAAGCATTCGTCTACACCAATAACAGACTTAAAGAAAGCCAAATCAAGAGCGAACTGCCATTCGCAATTGCTACAAAAAGAATAAAATACCTTGGAATACAACTCACAAGGAACGTAAGAGACCTCTTCAAGGAGAACTACAAACCACTGCTCAACGAAATCAGAGAGGACACAAACAGATGGAGAAACATTCCATGTTCATGGTTAGGAAGAATTAATATCGTGAAAATGGCTATACTGCCCAAAGTAATTTACAGGATCAATGCTATCCCCATCAAGCTACCATTGACTTTCTTCACAGAACTGGAAAAAACCACCATGAACTTCATATGAAACCAAAAGAGAGCCCGCATAGCCAAGTCAATTCTAAGCAAAAAGAACACAGCGGGGGGCATCACACTACCGGATTTCAAACTATACTACAAGGCTACAGTAATCAAAACAGCATGGTACTGGTACCAAAACAGAGATATAGACCAATGGAACAAAACAGAGGCACCGGAGGCAACACAACATACATACAACTATACAATCTTTGATAAACCTGACAAAAACAAGCAATGGGGCAAGGATTCCATGTTTAACAAATGGTGTTGGGAAAACTGGCTAGCCATGTGCAGAAAGCAGAAACTGGACCCCTTCCTGATACCTTACACCAAAATTAACTCCAGATGGATTAAAGACTTAAACATAAGACCTGGCACCATAAAAACCCTAGAAGGAAATCTAGGCAAAACTATCCAGGACATAGGAGTAGGCAAGGACTTCATGAACAAAACACCAAAAGCATTGGCAACAAAAGCCAAAATAGACAAATGGGACCTAATCAAACTCCACAGCTTCTGCACGGCAAAAGAAACAGTAACTAGAGTGGATCGGCAACCAACAGAATGGGAAAAAATTTTCGCAGTCTACCCATCTGACAAAGGGCTGATATCCAGAATTTACAAAGAACTCAAACAGATTTACAGGAAAAAAACAAACAAGCCCATTCAAAAGTGGGCAAAGGATATGAACAGATACTTTACGAAAGAAGACATATATGAGGCCAACAATCATATGAAAAAATGCTCATCGTCACTGGTCATCAGAGAGATGCAAATCAAAACCACATTGAGATACCATCTCACGCCAGTTAGAATGGTGATCATTAAAAAATCTGGGGACAACAGATGCTGGAGAGGATGTGGAGAAAAAGGAACACTTTTACACTGTTGGTGGGAGTGTAAATTAGTTCAACCATTGTGGAAGACAGTGTGGCGATTCCTCAAGGCCTTAGAAATAGAAATTCCATTTGACCCAGCAATCCCATTACTGGGTATATATCCAAAAGACTATAAATCGTTCTACTATAAGGACACATGTACACGAATGTTCATTGCAGCACTGTTTACAATAGCAAAGACCTGGAATCAACCCAAATGCCCATCAATAATAGACTGGATTGGAAAAATGTGGCGCATACACACCATGGAATATTATGCAGCAATCAGAAATGATGAGTTTGTGTCATTTGTAGGGACATGGATGAATCTGGAGAACATCATCCTCAGCAAACTGACACAAGAACAGAAAATGAAACACCGCATATTCTCACTCATAGGTGGGTGATGAAAAATGAGAACACATGGACACAGAAAGGGGAGTACTAAACACTGGGGTCGATTGGGGGGAAAAGGGGAGGGCCAGTGGGAGGGGGAGGTGGGGAGGGATAGCCTGGGGAGAAATGCCAAATGTGGGTGAAGGGGAGAAGAAAAGCAAAGCACACTGCCATGTGTGTACCTACGCAACTGTCTTGCATGCTCTGCTCATGTACCCCAAAACCTATAATCCAATAAAAAATAAAAATTAAAAATAAAATAAATATATTCAGATCATTAAAAAAAAAAAAAGAAAATGTCCTTAGATAGTAAGAAATATTTAGCTCAGATAATGGCTCATCACAGATGATACAGTTAGAGGCATTCCCACTTCAAAGCACAATAGAAAAGTGCATCCTATACCACAGCCATTTAATTTTGTTTTAAAAGTTTAGGACAATGCAATAAAATATGGACTGGATACTAACATTATATATGGTGGAAAGAAAGAACAAATTTATATTTGCTTTTAACCATATATCAAACACCTAAATAACCTAGTAAAAATATTACGTATAAAGAAATCATCTTTTTTTCCTGCTATGCTCAAATTAATTTTGGGTGTCATATTAAGAATTCATAGGGACTCCATGTTTGGGTCCCCTTCCACAAACACTCTCGTGGAAGCCATCTTTCTCTCTCCTGGATTTCCCCTCTGGAGTCCCCTTCCACACTCTCATGTGGAAGCCTGTCTTCCCTCCTAAACTCCATCTCTCTCTATTTCCTTCCACTCAGTGTGGAAGCTGCTTTTCTTTTATGGATTCCATCTTTCTAGATTCTCTCACTCAGTGTGAGAGTTAGCTGTTTCTCTCTTCTTCTCCTCTTTCTCAAAAAATAAAAATAATAAAATTTTTAAAAAGTTTATAATGTCACATACTATTATTTGCTTGAAATAAAGCTATCACTTCCCCTTTACACAGATCTTAGTTAAAATAGACTCTCTGAGTAATACAATGATAACTCACCAAGTTAATTTTATTTTTTTGAGATGCAGACTTGCTCTTTTGCCCAGGCTGTAATGCAGTGGCGTGATCTCAGCTTACTGCAACCATCGCCTCATGGGTTCAAGCAATTCTCCTGCCTCAGCCTCCTGTGTAGCTGGGATTACAGGTGCGTGCCACCACACCTGGATAATTTTTGTATTTTTAGTAAAGACAGGATTTCACCATGTTGGTCAGGCTGGTCTCGAACTCCTGACTTTGCAATCCACTCACCTCGACCTTTCAAAGTGCTGGGATTATAGGCATGAGCCACTGCACCTGGCCCACCAACTTAATTTTTACATGATTGTCATTTTATTTGTATGCTATCCAGTGACTGTAACAAGTTGTTTGTATATTTAATAATGTTCTCCCCTCATTTATTTATAATTATATCATGGGAACACATATTCATTCACATTTTCATCTTCCAAATCAGAATCTTTTTACCTTGAGATTTTTCTGCTGCTTGGTAAGTTTGTTTTTCAGTCTTCTGTTGTAATTGTTCTTCTGAAACATCTGCCTTAATAACAAAAGTTGTAATATGTAATTAGAAATGTTATATGTTTATATATATATATATTATATATATACTCGTGTTTAATTACCTGCTTTGAGAAAAAGAGTTAGCTTTTTGCTCTCATCTACAATGTCACTGCAGAAACATTTTATTTTTCTTTATTTCCAGAATGCATCAAATTAAAAAGTCAGAATGATTAATGGACCTGAGAGGCAATTGGGAACACTAAACAGCAAGGAGGGTGCTCAAGCAATATTGTCCTTTTCCCTCGCAAATAGTTCTAACCAAATAATGTTAATAATTATTGATTCTTGTTTAGATTTATATTTTAGTCTGTTCTAATCTTCAGAAGAACTAAAATGGCTTACAAGATTGTGATAGGAATACTTTAATAACACCTATGATCAAAATATATTTTGGATACATGTCATGTATGTACAGCCTTTTATCTTTTCTTTTTTTCCAGCATTTTTGCCCTATGAATTTCCTAATTAAATGCTTTTAAACCAAAACAATTCTAAAAATTTTCTAGATCTTGTTTAAAGGTATATAAAATTATTTGAAAAGGAGTATGCTTTTACAATCATCTTATTGTATAAATTTTTTTTGTAGATGAAGCGAAAACTATGAAAATTTTCCTTATCTCAAAATGATATATCTTTTAATTTACCATTAAAACTATAATGTAACCCATAACTTCTTGATCAATATCAAACAATTTTTATAAGTTGACAATATTATTACTTTTCCCAAATATTACTTTCAGCATTCTAAATATAAAGCAGGTTGTGTTATAAGGTAAACTTTTAGTTCTCTTGAAATAAGAAAATATTAATTAACTCATTTAAATGGGTTAGAATTTATTTGGGATATTGAAGGAGCAATATGAAATAAACAGCTTTCAAGTATTTATGTATATCATACCTTTTTACTTTCTGTAAGAACAGGAGGTAAAACGAATGGTGATATCACTGTTTCATTTTTTTGAGCCAATGTTCCAACAGACAGTGAATCCTGAATTTCTTTGCTGGATGATATTGTTGCAAGTGATTTATCATGCGTCTCTGATGGAGATTTATAGGCTAGGTCTTCAGCAACTGAAACTTCATTTGAACTCTCTAAAAAAGTTGATTCATCTTGAGACTTAAGGATCTGTGAAAGATCTGAAACAGCAGGACTAGATCGTTTCTTCTCTGAGCTTTAGAATTATAAAACATCTGGTATTAGATTATGTGAAGACCATTTTCTTTGCAACTGAAGAATCATTTTAATAATATATAAAGATACTAAATAATTATAATTACTCATTAATTTATGGTAATTCCAATATGAAATTGATGCTAGATAACAAGTTGACAATAGTAACATATGTTCTAAGATTTAACATGATATATAATACTAAGGAAATCATGTAAAATAATCCAATATAATCATTATTCAAGGTGATAAGCAACAGAACAAGAAAAATTTACTCAGCCAAAGTAGAATATAGGATGGTTTGGAGATTTACCCATTAGTCACATTTATTCCATTATTTTTCCACAATTTTATTTCAGAATGAAAATTATAATCTCTTCACAGAAGCTTTGACATTAAAAGATCACCACCTTTTACCAGAGTCAATTTCCCAAGCTCTGAGTTACTCTTCTTTAAGGTAAGGGGTATTTACTCTCCACCAATTGCCAAAGGATCAGCTTTCCAGGTTCCAGAACTAGGGTAACCAGATGTCGTTGTTTGCAAGCACAATCCCAGTTTTTGTTTGTTGTTCAAAAATTCTAGTTTAGATAATAATTTAAGTGATCAAACAATAAAAATTTAACAAAGCTTTCCTATCTATGAAATGCAACAGAATTTGATGTGTTTTGTTTTGAACAGCTATTGCTCCAGTTGACATAATTTGCCTAAGGTTTGTTGCAAAATGTTTAAAATAATTTGAATTTTGATCTCACAGAAGTAAAATTTTCAATGTACCTACTGCCACCTATCCTACATTTGTTAGTTTAGAATAAATTTAGAACTCCAAAGTTTGGGTTATAAAAAAAGGGAGTGGAGTGGAGAGGATAGCTCTGAAAATATATATAGTGCTGGTAATTTAAAAAGACATAGAATTTATGACAAACAGACTTTTGTAGTGGCATTATAAAGCAGATTGCGATATTAAAAGTAAAGATAATAGGTGGCTTTCTTTCCTAAATTAAGCATGGTATCTCATCCTCAAACCCGATTTATTAGTTTTATTAGGTATTTGAATTTAAGATGAATGTTCAGTCTAACATTCATGGGGAGACTATTTGTTACAGTTATTCACAAACCACCACCCCTGACACTAATATTACCACATATCTAAAAATAGAAAGCAAAATATTTTTGGAGATTCTGAAGTGGTTATTAGGGGACATCGTTAATCACTTGATTCTACACAAGCAATTATTCTTATAACAATAGAGAAAATATGTGGCAATACAAGAACAGTGACTTAAATGCTAATATACAGTTCATTTATAACCATATTCCCACATTCAGCCATTCCCCAATTCTATTGTCTCCTATAACCCATAAGGAACCAGTGTATAACAAACATGATACTTCTGCTGAAGGGTTTGGGAATAAAAAATACGAGGAGGTTGTGCAAGCAATGCTGTGTTCAAGCTTGTGTCAGTTAAAGAGAAGTGGAAATAGTTTCAAAGCCTTACTGATTAGACAGGGAAGGAGAAGAAGGAAAAGGAGGGAGGAAGAGAAAGAGGTAGATGAGGAGAAGAGGAGGAGTTGAAGGAGGAGGAGGAGAACAGCAATGGTGACTATAGAAGGCAGCCTATAGCCACACAGAAAATAACAATAAAGCAAGTGATTGCATCCTCCCAATTCTTTGGTAAATTGCCCAAAACCACGAAAATACAATTTATAAATCCTACTAACTTTTTGTCATTCACTGTCTGCTTTAGATGAAGATTCTGTGTCTAATAATCATTCCATGTCTAAATACTACCATATAATAGCCTAATCATGAGCATGTATTTTAACAGTTTTTATATAAGCATGTTGACAGCATTCTACATCATGGTCTTCAACATCACTGAAGTGGTATAAAGAGCGCATCTCCTCCTGCTTGCAAAAGCATTTGTTAACTCTGATGATCTGAGCACTGCACCCTTTTCGTACTAAGCAAATAGATGTACAAAGGCACGATCTGTTATGCATATAATCATGGATACTTTATAATTCTTAAATAAGGCAAAACGGAAAATGTCATTGGATGATAACTGCCCAAATTGCCCTCTTTTTTTTTCTTTCCAATACCTTCTTTTTCAGGAACTTTCCTTAAAACCATCCATTTTCTAAAATGTCAACACAATCCCCAACCCATACCCTCTCCTCTTAGGAAAAAAAAAAAAAAAACTCTCTCACAAGTATTGATGTTACATTGAATTTTTAATTATCAATGCAAATAAGAGACAAATTAATAATACTAAGAAAATATTATTGATATTCTTATCTGCAATAATACAAGATGTAGAATGCATTCCTATATACGAAACAAAAATATCTAAGACCTATGGTGTGCAATACAGTACAAACTAATACGATTCTAAAAATGAATTTTATAGAAAAATTTCAATATGGGTGCCATAAAAGTCAAAAGTCATCAATATTTTGATAGTTTTAAAAAATTACAATTAACATTGATCAAAATATTCATAGTGACTAGTTCTAGGATTCTCAACTGAAAAGAAAGTCAAAAATTTTTAAAGGTTCAGTAAAAGTCCAAGATAACTAAGAGCCTGGAAAAAATAAAAGGTTAAAATACTTGAAATTATTAACTTAAAGAAAATTGGTTGATGGACTACTTAGAAATAGTTTGTAAATGAATAAATAATTCTTATACTGACAATGTTGCCTAGCTACCTCTAGCCAGCAATGTTATTACTGAAATAATCAGAAATGGAACTTAAACTATAGGGATATTATATAGAACAAAGAAAAACTATTCTTGTACTAGAAAAAAAGAGTTATCAGTTAATGAGAATGACAATGTTATGAATGAATGAATGGCCTCAGTTAATTTCTCCCTTCCCTACTTGGTAGCTTGACTGAGACTTTCAGGTCTTTCATTGATACCTGTAATATTGCAATGTGCTCTGCTTGCTATTCTCCTTATAAGTTTTTCTAAATAAACCTTGTTATGTGTAGCTAGTGGTATATGACTCGTGTATGTTATATGTAGCTTTTGAAAACAGAAAGTTTGGGCTACCACTGAAGTGGAAAATAATTCCATTGGAAGCCTTATACCAGACAAACTACTAAGTTGAAATGGTCAATATCTCAGTGTCCATATCTTGCACAGTCATAAAAACTCAAGAGATAAATTACTTGTTCTCAGTAAGAATGGCCATAGAGATCAGGTAGCCATGGAATTATGGGACACCATAATCTGAGATTAAGTAGGATGTTTCTTTTGGATTTTTCCCATGCACATTTTCCTTTTGCTCATTCTGCTTTACATCCTTTTTATATAATAAATCATGGTCAACATAATGACTATATGATGAGTGCTGTGAGCTCTCCTAGTGAGGAGCGTAGTCCTGGGGAACCCTAACACACAAGGCTACTATTTTTGTACTTTATATTAATACTGTTTTCTGTTTCTTTCTCAGATTACATGATTAATAAGGACATTCTGAATTATTAAACCAAAAACAGGTACACAGCCATATTAGTTGGTTAATTATCTATTGGTAACCTCCATAACAGCTGGCCAAGCACATGGTGAAAAACTGAACTGGCAAGATCATTCCATAATATTGCATACAGGAAGAGTAATAATAAATTATTCTTCAAACAAAATGTAATGCATACAGGGACTCTGCAATACTAGTCTGTTAATACTAGTCTGTTAAGGAAAAAAAAAAAACACTGGACAGGCCGGGCGCAGTGGCTCAAGCCTGTAATCCCAGCACTTTGGGAGGCCGAGGCGGGTGGATCACGAGGGTCAACAGATCGAGATCATCCTGGTCAACATGGTGAAACCCCGTCTCTACTAAAAATATAAAAATTAGCTGGGCATGGTGGCGCGTGCCTGTAATCCCAGGTACTCAGGAGGCTGAGGCAGGAGAATTGCCTGAACCCAGGAGGCGGAGGTTGCAGTGAGCCGAGATCGCGCCATTGCACTCCAGCCTGGGTAACAAGAGCGAAACTCCGTCTCAAAAAAAAAAAAAAAAAAAAACCACTGGACACTCCATAGTGGACTACTGAAACTTAAACAGGTAAATAAAAAGCTCTACTTACTCCAGTCTGTCATTACACAAGCTATAGAATAAATTGCTGCCACTACTGATACATGTATGTAGCTGAAGACTTGGCAACGTATGCCAAGATTAGTAAATATACCTTTAGTAATCTTTCTTGAGAATGTTTTAATTCCTGTTATACATTTTCAGTGTGGGACAAAACTTAGCAAAATGTACACTGCTAGCAATCTCCAGATATTATATCACACTGATGACGGTGATCAACACCAAAGAAACATTACATGTTGTCTAGGCATACCTGATTAAAGATAACTTTAAATGATCCCAGGCCCTAGTATTCAGGTGAATTTGGAGAAGGCAGTCGTCATCTGGACAGTATAAAAAAGATACATTCTATATCACTTAAAGCAGGCATCACCAACTTCTGGACCACAAACTGGTACCAGTTCAGGGCCTGTTAGGAACTGAGTCACACAGCAGGAGGTAAGTGGTAAGTGAGCAAGCAAAGCTTCCTCTGTATTTATAGCTACTCCCTCATCACTTGCATTACTACCTGAGCTCAGCCTCCTGTCAGATCAGCAGACACATTAGATTCTCATAGGAGCACAAATACTATTGTGAACTGTGCATGCGAGGGATCTAGGTTGCATGCTGCATATGATAATCTAATGTCTGATGATCTGTCACTGTCTCCCATCACCCCCAGATGGGACCATCTAGTTGCAGGAAAACAAGCTCAGGGCTCCCACTGACTCTACATTAAGGTAAGCTGTATAATGATTTCATTATATACTATAATGTAATAATAGCAATAAAGTGTACAATACATGTAATGTGCCTGAATCATCCTGAAATCACACCCTCCACCCTAATCTGTGGAGAGTTTGTCTTCCACAAAACTGGTCCCGGGTGCCAAAAATGCTGGAAACTGCTGCCTTAAAGGAAAATTTAC